TATTGTGCACTTATTTGTGAATCTACTACATACTGCATGACGTTCCTCATCTCTCTCCTTAAATCTTGCAAGTTCAATTAAAATACTTTGAATCAAACTGTGATTTCAGTGTTTGTTGAGACTTATTCATGTATTTTTTTTTCTCAGAGGACGGCGTCTTAGAGAGAATTTAGCCGAGACAGATATTAAAAACCAAGAGCCGTGGCAAACGCGTCAGAAATCCAGGCTGGACGCATTGATTTCATGTCTTTTCCACACATATGAGGGATGTCAGCGCCTTCTAATGGACAAATATTGATTATCCCTCCATCATGTTTTGCCCGGTAACCCAGAGCCAGCGGTGTGCATCAGTCTGGGCCGTTCAGCAGAAGTCCTGGACTGCATTATGTAGTAACAGCAGTCAGGTCGAGAAGCAGGAATAAAAAGGAGACATTATTCTGTCCCAGGTGGTAACGAGGTGATGGGTTCAAACCCCTCCGGGAGGCCGATATGTATTCAACAAACAGAGCGAGGAGGCGCTGAGGGAAACACCAGGGCCTCTGGCAAACAAAGCCTGGATGATTAAAGGAGAGAGTGTGGAGGAAGCCGGCAGCAGCAGCCACTCAGCTGTTTGTGCAGGTTCACAAATCTGAATAAAAATGCTGCAAATAAATAAATAAATAAAGGTACCTCACTGTAGCTGTTTGTTTTTTTCATACCTGGTGGAAAGGCTGGTCTGTCAGTAATGAAAAGATATGATTCAGCCCAGTGTCACAAAGGAAAACATAAAGTTTAACAGCTATGTTGGTCCACGGAAATGTAATTTTAACTTTGCCTAAACTTTATCGAGTATGTCTGTATGTAAACAAAAGAAAATAACGACTAAAAAGGTGTGAATGAAAATAAACAGTGAGTGAAAAGGACTGAAAACAGGAAAGAAAGAAAGAAAGAAAGAAAGAAAGAAAGAAAGAAAGAAAGAAAGAAAGAAAGAAAGAAAGAAAGAAAGAAAGAAAGCAGCGACTAAAAAGGAACGAAAATCAGAGGAAAGTAAACAGCAGCTTAGCAA